CGCCATATCTGTGCCCAGCTCCAGTGCCAGTTACTCCGACCGCATGTTCATCCCCATACCTGACTCGAGCACCCTCCATGGCCATGTTGTCTCTAAAAGTGTGACCACTTTGGCTTGCAATTGCCTGCTGCACGGAATCTTGAAGTTGCTGATCGACCCCTTCAGCCGCTTCTTCCAAAGCATCAAGACGGCGCTCTTCCTTCAATTCTTCAGCCTCTTGAGCACTTAGCTGCTGCTGACGATCCTGGATGGCTGGAAAGAGCTCCACTAAGGCATCAACAAGTGCTGTGACATCTTCGATCAGCCTGCGGAAGTTTTTCTCCTCGTACAACGCCCAAGCCGCTTTCCGTACGAAGCTGCTTCGTTTCTGGCGCTTGAGGGCTAGTTCTCGCATCTTTTTGTGTATCGATAAGATGTCGGGCTCAAGCTCGTCGTCAGCATTGTATACGGCTAGCTCGTCGCCGGTAGCCTTTGCCTTGTATTTTTCCGAGACTCTTTCTGCGTCGGCAAACAACTCGATGATCTCCCCCAAAATCTCTCCAACCTTCTGAGCTTTTTTTGTAGTGTCAATAGCCGCCTGGTAGCAGTCTGAAGAGTTGTTCACAGCCTCTGCCCACCGGGACAGGCGGAGCTTCACGACATCGAGCCTCAAAAGGGAGCGTTGGTAGTTTTTCCCGAAGTTGCGACCTATTTGGACGTATTCGAAACAATCGACACAGTTAGTAAAGAGACCGGCGACGCTCACAGCGCCAATGACCAGTCCGGCTGCTTCTGCCATCCTATTTCGCTTGGAGAGGTGAGACCGAAGGAGAGGGCCGCTGAGGCGTGTATTGGCAAAACAACAACTTTGGGATGAATACACCCTTGTGTTCAAAGGGAGAAGATCGAATTGTTGTGATGTCTCAGCGTTGTTGTTTTGATCTACAAGTGGTTTTGATAGGATCACTTGTCTAGCGTCATGCTTCTGGATGCGCAGGGAACCGTTGACGCGCTCACTAGCCTCCGTCTAGGCTAGTAATAAGCTCGCGGGGTGACGGCAACTGCGCCCATTCCACCGATTTTACCAACAGTGCATATCTGCGCCTGAGACATCAAGGAATTTGCGGTCCTGGACCAAGACTTGGATAGGACGGTATGGTCTCTTCATTCGTTGGTGAAGTAGCTAACCATGGTTAACAGGCACACTAGAATGCCTTTGCTTCTCCGCTCCTCGGTAGAGTTCTCCGCTGGACGACTTGCGGACGTGGTTACGGCAGAGCGGATGTCATGGTTGACTTCTGAATGATGAGTTTTCCACTGCCTTGAAAGCCAGAATTTCTCTCACCGGTTCCTCGTATGCCGTTGTTGCCTCGCGCCCTCCACCCAACCCATCCTTCGCATCTACGCTGGGCCAATCGCCCGCTGCGACACCACAAATTCCGACGGCTCATAAAGTCCACTTTCTGAGCCCGGCAGCCAACATGCTGTCTGCAGTAGCCTCTTTCGACTTGTCCTGCGCGTAGGACCTTCCATCTCAGAGTCGATCCGATTTCATTAACAACTACCCAAGCACGATGCCGTTCAACACCCTCATCATCAGCCAGTCCTTCGATGCCCGCGCCGGATATGGCCATCACCCTTACCACGCCCCAAACAAACACGCTAACAATGCTCTTATTCTGAGGTCCATCTTCACAATGTGAATAAGAGTTGCATACCTTTTTTATGTCATTAACTCTGGTCGTTGCGCTTTCTGGTGCTTCATCCGTCCAGCATGTCATAGTCCAGTGTAACAATGGCGTAATCCTGAATCGACGGTAATGGTTAGGCTTGCTGCGCGATTTCTGACAACACTGATTATCTCAAGGTTGGCCAGTTGTAATACCATAGGCAAGAGGACTTACACATTTCCATGCCCTGCTAACTCAAATCCGCCTTCATCATCTTGCAGTCTGAGGACGGGGCTTGGCCGTCGCAGAGGAACGACTATCTGAAAGAGAAGTCCTGCAATTGCTTTCTCGTCTTTAATGGATAGAGTGTCTGTTCTTGTTGCATTTCGCGCGTATATTTGAAGCAATTGAGCTCGAGGGAAACAACCTTGCACAATGAAGTCAAGAACCCGCAGTTTTTGAGCTTGAATCATACTTGATGTAGCCGATATCCTCCCGACCCTCTTGCTTGCAATTTCCTGTGGTAGGAGACTCCTTCGCTTAATATGAATATAACCACCATCTTGTGGTAACGAAAACAGCACCTGAGCAGTCCGTCGCTCAATATCCTCGCTGCCGCTCACCGTCCAGATATTCTGCAATGTGACATATCCCCATTTGCTGTAAAGCTCACGCGCCTGTTGTAGATGGGCCTCCGATAGTCCTACACTGCACTCCGCCTCACTCAAAATGATTGTGTTGTGATCGGGCATTTTTCCACGGCTGCTTAAGGAGGAGTAACACCGAAAAGACCTTCCCAGGGGGTTTCCCCCGCCGCTAAGAACTTTATGGAGGGCTGATAAAGTTGACTTCACATCGACGACAAAAAAATCGTCTTCGAAGTCCGACATGCAAAAAGGCATGGCTGTGAACGCGTCGCCTGCGAGACACGGTTCGGTATGACATTTACGCTGACATAGATTGTCCGTCTAGCCTAGGGCGGCCCTTTCAAAGTTCAAAGAACAGCCCTCATTGTTCGCAGGTGTCTCGGTGTCATACACGGAATAGGAGTGGTTCTATCTGATTGATTGTGTCTTGTCTCTCTGGCTACTCAGAGAGACTCTGCTTGTTTATATACACTTTGGCCTGTGCTCTGAAGGTCGTTCCTGAAACATCTTATTCCGTCGTCTGCTATCGCAGATGGGCGAGAGCAACGGTGTTGGGGTAAGTGGTGAGACAGCGAGCGTCCCAGGTGGTTTGCCACAGTGGCGATCTCGCGATCCTGTCAACGCTCGGACTCTGTCACGGCGGCTCAAGGCCGGTTGTTTGCTGTCCACCCTGCACGTCATCTGCCAATTTGAACAGATCTTTGCACGCTGTTAGGACTGCTACAAACTCAACACGAATCCTTACCTAAATGGCGTGTATCCATGCTGGAGATCGTGTCGCTTCCTACTATCCACTTGTGCTCGCCAGACAATTCTGCCTGAGTACCCAATTGTGAATGGATAGCAAGACAGACAGGGAGCTTTGAAAACAATTTTACAGTCTTTCCTTGACGAACTACTAGATCACCTTCAAGTATTTCGCAGTCGACTTCCCACTCTGTGGTCAGCCTCTTCAGCTGAGAAGGAGTCATAATGACCGCAATTTGCTGACTCAAATCAGCGACAACACTTGTCTCTTAGCATTCAGCGCATACCATTTCAGCACGACTGTCAGTATCGGCAGCGTACTCAAACTCAGCAGCATGTTGAGTGATCCAATGCCTATTCATACTACTCTTCCACAATACTTTCCGAGATTTTGATTGAATGGGTTTTTGCAGAATAAAAAAACGGTCTCTGAAAGAAATCATCATGTTCTTTGTCTCGAGTTTTCAAGTTGTTGAAGTGGTTGCGAAGCTTGGCCGTTGGATCTGATGGTGGAAGCGAAGTATGCGAAACTGCAGGAAGGAGCTGGACACGGCAAAGTATACTTTGACGTGTGGACCATATTAAAGTATAGTCCTAGATGATTACGTCGAATTTAATCATGAATAAACTAACAGACTTGCCGGTGAAACACAAAGAGGTTGGTAAACCTCATATATACCCCCGAATATGGCGATAAATCTGCTAAAGCATCTACCGTCACTGGATGGAGGCAGCCAGTGTAGAGGGGGCGTACCTCCGAATCCGGCCCAATGGGGTCCTAGGCTCCAATGGCACGTCTATGAATAGGAGGCGGGAAGTGTTACGAAGCAGACATTTTAAGGAGCCTAAGAAGTCTAAGAGAGTAAATTTACTGAGAAATGCGTCAAGATAAGAGAGTAATCTAAAGTAACCTAGCTATTACGGATTCGACTAAACATCGGAACAACGAACGACCGATACATCAGAGTATAGTGTTTAAGCTGCTGTCGTACACCTAACTAGGTTAGGTTCCTCAGTAATAGATTATCAGGGACCTACGCAACATAGTAGGTATCACTAAGTCTTTAACTTAGCGAGTACTAACGCTATTAAATTAATAATGTAACAAGGCAAAGTGGCTGCGCTGTGATGGGCTGTGCTGGGCTGGTAGAGCGGTGGCAGGGAGGAAAAGTTGTCTGGTCACATGTCAAACCAAAATGGGCTGGCAGAGAAGGGGGTGCGGAACAGTTTACAGTGCTGGTAGCGTGCCATTCATTACAGTTTGGGAAGAGTATCATGAATTCTATGGCTTTTTGGCGCCGTCTACCTAATTCCTGAGTGTTTTATCAGTTCTGTCCTATTCCTCGATGCTGCCGCGGTGATAGGTGTTCGTAGCCCTAGCCGCTGCCCCTCTGGGTGGTGTTGGTGGTGTTGTTTTGTCAGTATCAACCAGAAACGCGTTCTCGATTCCCGATCTGCTGGACAGGCCTCTGTGCGTTGTTGCACGTGCATGCCAAACCCTGAAGTGCTCTGTTACAATACCGCGCCTATTATTTCTTCCATAGGCTCGTGCCATCTAAAGCTCTACATCAAGAGTACTTCGTATAGTCTGCCTTATTGGCTCCGGAAGAACCCACTAGCGGCTAAGGAGCCCCGGAACTATTGAAAGGATCGCGAGTGGTTTGTTTGCTGCAGACGCTGATTGAACCCTCGGAAGCCTTGTGTCCCGAAATAATGTCGACTATTCCGCGAAGGCACTGGTAATTGCATGTTAGTGGGATTTCAGATAGGTTGTTTCACGCTTAAGCCGCTCTAACGTCTTCTCATTCTTCCTGGCCCTTCGATTTATTTATCCGACGATCTTGATATGATGACACAAAGCTTATATAAGCACAGTATAATCAAGGTCTGTATCCCATTCCATTGCCAGCCCCCCAGCTACTCGTAACCACGCCAAATATTTTGCTGTCACAAGCCATCAACACTTCCGTTGTTGTTTTCGTTACAGTATGGTGGCAATATTATGTCGGAAATTCAGTGCGAATCTACACTTGTTTGCGATCAGGATCAAAGACTTTCAAGGCGCACCTAGCAAGGTGGTTGGCAGTTAGGAGTCTCTTGGTACTAGTCACTTATGACTAAATTATGCCAAAATTTCGATCTAGCGCTCAGGCAGCTGCTGGGCAGTGTGATGGTGGTTCTACAGATCGGGAATATGGTATCCAATGGCACACGATGACCTGGAATGACTCAAGCGGTAGGCTCGACTCTCTAAACAAACAACATTTTGTACCAAAATCCACTAAGACCGGAGCGATCGCTATGAGTGATCCGAATGCTGGCTCAATGGCACCGTCGAATCCTGCTGGATTTCCTGACAAGAGCACTGCGGGCGACAAGGCTGGCGCAGCTATCTTGACTCTGCTTACCGCTGCTATTATCATCGGGGGCGTTGTTTTATTACTAACTTAACAAGGGGAGGTTGTTGTGTGATTACCGTTAAATGCATACCTACCTTGACTGAAAACCGATTACGTTGGGAACCCGAACTTGAAAGTAAAACTCTCGTGATGGTTTTAACTTTGTCTGTGCAACTTTTTCTTACATCTCACTTATAGCCAGTATAGACCGGTATATTCATGGCTGTATTGCGTTGGTTTCTGGTGACGTAGAAGCGTGTTTCTATATGCCAACTCCGTAGAAAGAGCTGATTCGGTTATGGGCAGACCGAGCAAGCAGCCCTGGGCTCAATGTTACTTAGCCAGCCACCTGCATAAAATGATAGTGAGGCAGTACTTACAAAATTCCCCCTTCCCCCTTCCCCCTTCCCCCTTCCCCCTTCTTCCATTGCCTTGGGAGTCTTTCCCGACTTTTTTGTCGCTGCGCTCTTGAGGTGGTTTCTTCACATCGTGGGCAACCAGCCTCGCCCCCGGACGCCCAGTCGCCACCTGATTTTCGCACGACCAAGTCGTTTCGGAAATCAGAATCACGCTTCGACGGATCTTGCGTACACATCCATACCGACCGGCGGTGTGTGAATTCAATGGGCAGAAAACCCATCTGAGTGGAGCAGCTGTCGGACGCGGCACAATATCTCGCAAATTCCATGAAATAAGTGAAGCAATATCCGAGGGAGCTGCAGCGTCTCATCGGTTACTCTGTTAGCAAGCCTTTTCTTGGATGGGTCAACTTTGAAGACCCGATTAAGCTATTGTATGACGATCCCAAAGCTGTCGGGGAGCCGATGCGGTGATCTATGGAAAAAATTGGCCTTGAATGAGTAGTCTACTGCGAAAACAGTACACTCCTGTCTACAAATGAGTGCATCCGAAACGCTTCTCTATTTTCTAGACTTTCTCAACCCATGATCATCGAGTCCCAGCTAAGATGATGTTGAGGACGGGACTCTTGGAGCAATCCCAGGCGGTGCCATCCCCAGTAATTCAATATTCGTAGGCGTGATGAGTGATTAGTGGCATACAGAAGTCGACCAGGGCCAGGAAAGGCCTGATAAATTCACATAGCCTTCTATGGTCACTGATATTACATCTGAGTATTCAAATGGAACTGACTTCTCAATAATTTTGCGCTTAATTATATCCTTGACATTTTCTGGGTCGTCCCGTGCCATCATCCTTCTTTACTCAGCTTGCGTACTTCGAACGATAGTGACTTTTAAAGCTCTTCACTTGATCACCAATAATCTAGTTTCGGTTATCACGTTTCTATTGGACCTTGGAGACCAAACTCCACAGAGCGACCCAAAAATTCTCGCCCTCGGTTGGACAGTCGCGATGGAATGTGGTTTCGCCACAGGGTAGGACATACGATTCAGCTGCGCATCGTAGCTTGTGGTAGACTCCTTAGCACAATACAACTTTTGAGCTATCGTTGGTCTAGATCAGCTAGTTTCAACTGCTGAGGTAGCAGCAATACTGAGTCCTCTTTTAATGTCCCAACGAATGGAGATTTCGTCGCACCGCCTAGGTGGCTCCAACCATCGAGGCCCTCTCGCTTGCAGCTAATCCAATACCCGTCTTAGAAAGCTAAGACTCTGAGACGGGCGTCTCGTTCCCTCAACCTCTTGCCCCATATGTAGATCACCATGGCAAAGGCATCGACGACAATTACCATTGCGCTTAGAATGCAGAACACGGGAATGATTCCGTTCAACTTGAGCCATGGAACCACCGCAAATCCGATTGCAAAGGATACTATGGACTTGAACCCGTATAAATTCTATCACTGCGTTAGTGGCTGAGTGTGTAGGTCGGATTGTTTTTGTCTTAGTAGGGTTGGGCGATTGGGGATGGGGGAATGAAATCCCGATACTTACCACAATACCATCAGCTAAAACTGGAGCATAGCTGTCCATCATGTAGGCCTCGACGATGGCGGCTATGCCGGTAAGGCCAGTGCCTACCAGGCCACTTCCTATCACTGGGACAATCCAATGGAACTTCTTTTCGAGACCAATACCAAACATAAGGAGGCCAACGGGCACGGCGACAGCTGGAAAAATAACAACTGGTAGACGCATTTCTGGCTCAAACACCCCGTTGTTTCGACGAGCAGACCATTGACTTAGTTTGTCAGTCATATAGCCACATAAGAAGGAACCCAATATGTTGCCAACGCAAGCAGCAAGAAATGTCAGTCCCTGTTGACTGGTGGTGAAGTTATAGGGAGTGGCACCCAAGTAGATAGGAATCAAGCTGATCAGCACAATGACGCTGGCGATGGTGTTAGGTCACAATACTTGCGTGGCGAGTTCGTTCCAGACGTACCATGAAACGTGGATGGCCCACGACGTGACAGCCCAAGCAATACTGAGGTATGACCAAGTAGCCCATGCCCGAAAGAAAGCTGCCAGCACATTAACATCCTTATCCACAGGAGACCATGGTTTCAATTCCAGCAAGTACGACCGCTTCCGGACAGGGGCATCGATGGCCGACTGATGGCTGGCCGATGTTTCCAACGTAGTTTTCTCTTCATATGACACTGCGATCTCATTCAGCGATTGCCGGGTGCCGGCACTCTTATCAGAGAACTCGTCCGCTCCTGCCACATCAACTGATTCGTGCAGGTTGCGCCGGTATCGTGTCTCCGGAGAACAGAAGAAAATCCAGAGCAGATCGAACCCTGCCAAGATCGAGAGCACCCACTTATACCAGCGCCAACCCTTGCTCTGGATTAGGAATCCAGTAATGACAGGAGAAAGAGAAGCCCCGAGGGAAAGCCAAACAGATTGGACACCACACTGGGTGCCACGCTCATGCAAGAAAAATAGATCGTTTGTCGTGGTGACGCTGACCGGCTCGCTTACCCCTGCCGCCCAGGAAGCAAAAAACCTGGAGAGTAAAAGAGACGTATACGAGTCTGAAACTGCCCCCCAGATGCTGCAGAGAAACACCCATAGAGCAGCAAATAGCCAAATGGGGCGTCTGCCGAATCTATCCGTCAGGAGGGCCAGGGTGTAGCATCCGATGAAGCTGCCAAGCATGCAAATAGAGATGAGCCATGACAATTTGTCAGGTCCAACATGAAATTCCAACACAATTTGTTCGAATCCTGGTGCCAGACCTGAGATCCCAAAATGGCATATTGTAGACAAGAAGAGGATGGGGTAAAATGCCATTATTCTCTTCGCGTAGGTCCAATTCTGCGTGCAAGTCAGCGGTGTTCAGAGCTTCGAGGAGCGTTACGGACCAGAGGGTCATTGGGGTCTGTTGCATTCGGTTGAGGAATGAGGACAATTGAAGTGCCCTCCTTGTGACGTAGGCGATCATTGTCTGGAGTCTGTGTCAGTAACTATTGTGTGGCGTGACCGAGCAATGGAGAAAACCTGAAATGAGGTGAACAGAGCCATGACTGTGCTCGATTGCTGAGAGAGCAAGTAGCTTCATGATGGAAATTGCTTCCAGTCTTGGAGAAGTTCAATGCTGAGGCGAGCCTGCCGCTTTTGAAGGCTATCCTCGAACATCTTCGGTATTTAAAGTGCCTTGATAGATGGTCTTTACCCCGTGGGGACCTCCTACCCGGTTCGTTGCGGCAAAGGTACCGGATTTCCGAGGCCTCCAGGAGCACCGAAGGACAGCAAAATCTCGTTTCTCCTAGGTGGTTATCGTGACTGCGTTCCAATCTCGTTCCGTAGAAGTAATTACGTGCGTCGACTCGGCAGCGTCGTAAATGTAGCAATAATGCATTCGTATCATCTCCTCGGGACCTCACAAAGGCAAAAATATCGGAATGATTCCCGCTTCCGCAGAGTATGATATTCCACCGAAATCGCTGAAGTGGTGGGAACGAAAGTATCCTAGCGTCGGGGAGACAATGAATATAAGCCAGATTTCCAACTTCAAACTATGAGGCAAAACCGGTTCCCGTTCTTCCACACACATTCGAACACCACGAGGTCAATCTATGTAATGCCGACGAGCGAAATCCCAATTCCTCAACCAAGTCTACTTGGAAAGGTAGCACTAGTAAGCGGCTCTTCATCTGGCCTTGGCGCTGCCATTGCAGAAGAGTTCTCGAGCCGCGGCGCCCATGTTATCATTCACTATGCCTTTCCTTCCGAGCAGGCAGCGGCACGCAGTGTCCAGAAAAAGCTCCGGAGCCACTCTCGATCAATTCTAGTGGAAGCAGACCTCTCCACCTTTGAAGGCCCCAAAGCCCTCGCAGCCGCTGCGTCTGCTGAATTTGGGAAAGTTGATTTTCTCGTAAACAACGCTGGTGTCAGCGGGCCTGATCGGCTGTCTGAAGCATCTGACCTTGACGTCCTACGAGTTTGGGACCAGGTGGTGAATGTGAACGGTCGAGGAACGCTGCTCCTCACCCGCGCCATCCTTCCCATCTTGACTTCAAATGGTTCCCGCATTGTCAACATTGGAAGCGCCACTTCCCGGGACCCTGATCCGGACCTGACCATCTACGCTGGGACAAAGGGCATGATTGAGGCGTTCACTCGATGCTGGGCTCGACATTTCCCCCGAAAATACGGCTGCACAGTGAACACAGTCGCGCCTGGACCGGTGGCGACGGAAAGGATGCGTTCGCTTCCTGAGGAATTTCTGAGCGTGGTGCGCACGAGGTGCGAAAATATTCCAGTGGCGGCGAGAATGGGTGAACCATCAGAGGTTGCATGGATAGTCGTCACCCTCTGCGAGAAGCAGGCGGGATGGTTGAACGGGTTATACATTCCGGTCAGCGGAGGCGGATTGCTTACTTGAAATCAGTGCTTGCCAAGGCTTCGTGTTATGAAAGTTGAAGGAATTGCAGTAGGGCAAAGAGTTGCGTCATTCTGCTGACGACAAGGCGAGTTGCTTTACATGGAGGATGCTGAGACATGGTGGAATGTGAATTTCTCAAGCTGGTTGTGTGTTCGGAGATTTCCAAGACCATAAATTGTTGAAATAAATTTAGACGCATTTCGTATCTTTTATGCCTTTTATAGCGCATGTTGGGCATGTTATCAACTTTTACGTGCGATGTGACCCGAAGGAGTGCCAAGGGATGTAATGACTTGGCTTGGCGGTAATCGACCAAAGGCCTCCGGTCACGAGTAAAGACTGCATATATTGTAACAAGGCGAGGTGGCTGTGCTGTGATGGGCTGTGCTGGGCTGTTAGAGCGGTGGCAGAGTGAAAAAGTTGTCTAGTCACATGTCAAACCTAAATGGGCTGGCAGAGAGGGGGGGGTGCAGGACAGTTTACAGTGCTGGCAGTGTGCCATTCATTACAGATTGAGCAGAGTATCATGAATTCCATGGCTTTTGGCGCCGTCTACCTCTATTCTTGAGTGTTTTATTAGTTCTGTCCTGTTCCTCGATGCTACCGCTGTGCTAGGTGTTCGTAGCCCTAGCCGCTGCCCTTCTGGGTGGTGTTGGTGGTGGTGTTGTCTTGTCAGTATCAACCAGAACCGCGTTCTCGATTCCCGATCTGCTGGACAGGCCTCTGTGCGTTGTTGCACGTGCACGCCGAACCCTGAAGTGCTCTGTTACAATATATTCCGTAGATGCCCCAGGGGCTTGCTCGAGGCTTGCCCAAGGGAACTTGGAAATCTACCCTGTACCATGTCCTCCAATGAGTCTCAGCAAATATCGCAAGTATCCTCTGCACGTGCCCAGAATTCACGTGACATGTCGAACCTAGGCATTTAACCGCTCCGTTCATTCTCCTTGATTCGGGACAGTCAGTCGGCCTGTCAATCTCTTGCATGATCGAGCAAACATACACAAAGAAGAGATTCTGCTACTGCATCGGGCTCGCTGGACCTCCCATGCTAATTCACATACATTCCTGAGCCCTCCAGAAAAGTCTGTGATGCTGACCACGGAGGCCGGCCGTGCCCAAACGTGTCTATCCCGCGGCTAGTCCTGAGAGCATAGTCATCCAATAGTGTAGGAGCCTCGGCCTGTGGTTCAGCTTGACGTTTTGGGAGTCCGTTCACAGCGAATAGATTCTCTGGAACGGATGACACCTCAATGTTCCTCCAGAGTTTTCTTCGCGTATGTGGAGACCTCGGGGGCTTACAAACCACACAAGCTCCGAAGCTAATAATTGTGCTGTTGGAGGTGTGGTGTAATACACTGCGGATCAACTTTCAGATACGACTCTTACGAGATCCAAGGAATTAGAACTAAGGGTTCGGATCTTTGCACCATGCTGAGAACAGCGCCATCTGACATTGAGCATCCCGCAATTCGACACAGGCGTATCGTTGTTGACCCCGCTCGTATCGCTGATTCCTGAAATCAACCCCTAACCGTCTCGCAAGGCTGGCAACACAAGCCACCCTACCGAAGTTAAGAGGTTTCCACTCGTAAGCCGACGCCTCCAAAGGCTCAGTCTGACCCGTCGGTCCCGTCGGTCGAATAATCCCGTAGACAATTTGCGGCATAATCCGCGCAGCACCAGGTCCGCATCCGGTAATAGCAACCCCCTTGCACCTCGTACGCAGTTCTTGCAGTGCATTGAGGTTCTCTGTGTATCTTCTGCTTTTTTTGTACCTGATAATTCCTTCCTTCCTTTCGTCATTCAGTGAGTCCCCTTGTGGTTGATATACATAATTGCCTGTGGTAAGAAGGAATCCTTCAAAGCCCCCTGAACCCCTGAGGGAGCCTCTAAATGCCTCCTGAGCCCCTTGAGCTTACAGAGAGTTCTGCAGTAAGAACTTTACTGGGTGCTTTTTAACACTCCTTTTCCAACATGATTGTATTCTTAGCACCGGTGCGCGGTTGTGTCACTGAAGTTTGTGTTGATGCAACATTATGGTTATGATCTGCACAGTCGCGAGCTACCTCACTCTCAGTAACTCAGAAGCAACCATTATCAATATGGTACGATGTGGTGTACCCTATCCCATGCGCAGCCAGCTTTGCTGGGTAATTTATTGGCATTTCTATTTTGCTCCGTTCGCCGTCCTTACTAATTATATTATATGTAATTATGAGTTCAGAATAACTCAGAGTCCCCTTAGACTGACTTGAGGTTCTAGTGTATTTAGGAGGCGCTGGGCGTAGTTGTGGTAAGTGATAGACAAGGTAGGCTGAATGGTCGCCCTCGGTAGGTCGACACCTCCTTTGATGCATGTAATCTCTATCTATATATAAGCTAGCAGTAGAATAGGCTATGAAGTGTTAATCCCTATAAAATCACAGCTATTGACGCCATAAATAGACTAACTGTGCTGCGGAACAGACCATAAATATCTGTGCAACCGTTATCTCAGCGGTGCAACAAGTACCCGAGCCAAAGGGAAGCCCTGAGCTATTCCATCGACATCGGGCACATTAAGATGGTATCTGACTAGGGTGAAGACACCATTGGCACAGCGAGGTCGACGAGCCAAATCAACCATGTAGCCATCTGATCCAAACTCAGGCTTTCGAGTCAATGACTGCTGCCTCTTGGCACTCCCTGATGATCAGACGCCGATGTGCGTCGCTTCGCGGCTTGAACTTCACTTTGTACGGCTCGACTACTGCCGTGAGCGGGAATGGTTTGTCGACCACTATCGGATGAGCTTGATCTTGTTCAATATCGAAACAGTAGATCAGCCGTGAGATTGCAATGAATAGGTTGCTCGCCGCGACGTTGTACCCAACACACATACGCCGACCTAAATTGATATCACGGTACAGTTAGCTGCTAGGTACTTGCTCATATTGGCTGTGTACTCATTTCGAAAGATGCACTCACCTGCCCCAAACCCAAGGTGGCCTTTTTGGGGCTTATCGAGCTCTTCATCGAGGAAACGATCCGGGTAAAATCGTTCTGGCTGATCGTACTCGTTCGGGTCATTGGCAATCGCCCACTGATTCCAAGTCACAACTGTGCCCTTTGGGAAACGATAGCCTTCGAATTCATCGTCTGCGGTCAAGGCATGTGGAACTCCCGTTTGAGTGTTTGTGGGTCTGGGGACGAAAATTAGCGACTTATCTGGTCGTTGAGTCTGTGGATTGATGAGGTTCCGCCTCTCGACTCTCACCTCCAGCGCACTGCTTCCTTGACGGCAGCCCTGATCATGGGCAATCTTTCGATGTCGTCAAATGTCGGTAACCTCTCGGCATTCTTTCCACAAACTTCATCGAGCTCTGCTCGTGCACGTGGAACCCAGTCTGGATACAAAGCCGTGCCTGCCACGACCTCTAGCAGACTGTTACGTGTTGTATCACTGCCAGCTTCGAGGAGGGTCACGGCAATGAAAGCGGTCTCGTCTCTTGTAAACTTCGCTTCCTTGGAAGCAAGCAGTTGGGTCATAAAACAATCCTTCTGTTTGCCCTCCTTGACCCGGCGTTCAAGATCATCAAGAAATTGTTTGAAGGCACTAAGTTCCCCCATCCACTTTAGCCATCGCTTTAAATTCAGTGCTTTCTAGTAGTAGAGAGAAATGAATTTTATTTAACAGATGTTAGGACAAAGGTCAAACTTACGTTATTGTTCTTTCGTAGATGGCATCTCCTTTCCATCTCCATGGCTGAAACTTCTTTAGCACCGGGATTCTCGCCAAGAAGGGAAATGAATCGACGATTGATGCACCAGGCATTGTATATGGAACGAATTCCTCCTGCGCTTTGAAGATGGCCAAGAATCTCGGGTCTCCATGACTTGTTCGGCGTCCAAACGTGACGTTCAAGATGACTGAACTCGAGAATCGTCCTAGAGATAGGTACCAGTTTTGAGGCTGCTCCAGCAATTCATACATCAGAGCTCTAGATTCAAGATCCTGGAACGGTTTGAAGATGCGTTGTTGGCTAATATTCAAAACTTGGTGCATCAATTTTCGCTGAAGACGCCATGACTCGCCATAGGGCATCAAGACCATACGTTTCTCCCCAGAGACAATGTGATGCGCCATAGGAAGACTCATTCGGGATGAGTAAATCGATGCTCTCTTCTCTAGCAGTTCATAAGCTACCCGTCGTGAGTTCGCAACCACCCAATATGTCGATCCGAATTTCAAGGTGAACCTAAAATCCACCAAATGGCTGGTTAATCCACAATCTTGTTCAGAGAGATTCAAGGTCAGATTCGGTGACTAACATCTCTCCATATTGACGGCCCAGCTTCTGCAGATAAGGCCCCTGGTCAATTTTTGGTATCTGGAGCGCGTTACCAATCAAGGGTAATCCAGGAACTAGATTCGGAAATCGATATTTCCTCTGAATCATAATGTCTGCCATGATTGACCAAGCGACCCAACCGACTAAGACAATAATACCAGCTGCAAGAAGCAGCCGGAGGTCCGCGAGATCGATTAAAGCCATCGTTGATGGGGATTCTTTTGATAATGTCCTCTCACAGCTAGTAGTGTTGAGAAGGATGGTGGGGTTGAATATATTCAGGAAAAATTATACTGTACATCCTCAAACGACGATTGAGATGCCTTTTGTCGGTGGCGTTCTCCATCGGTTCGAATGTCAACAGCATCACAGCGACATCCGTTTATCGTATTGGATCGGTGCTTTCCTTGTTTATACGTACCACGCGGTACTCCGTGAGGTTTAAAAACCACCTATACCAGCCAAGTCCGAGTCCAAAGTTGCAACCTAGATCCGAAGCCCGGGGTTGAAAGTTACGGTGAAATCTTCAAGTTGAGGTACATATGTGGGACCATAATCCACTGTTCCCGGCCGATAATGAGCGGCCCTTTCAAGAGTTCAGAGCCCCCATGAACTTTTTAGGTTTCTACGCAGTTTCCGACACGATCTCATAGCACTTTGGTTAGTGGGGCCCATAAAACATGGATTAGACTAGCCGAATTAGAATGTTCCCCTAAAAGAAGCCAAGGCCCGAGGGCTTCCCATGTCCCGAGTGCTGCCGCCGGAGACTAATGAGTGGAAATCAACGCTATCATTATATCGGCCGCTGTACGTTTGTGGGATCAGCTCTTTCTTGTTGTTTGACACTCGACGGCACAAAAACCAATTCTCTGAAACTCGTCCAAATCCCACCTGCCATTTCGCCACAATCAATATAGTGTACAATATTACCAGAACAGAGGAGGAACATGCCAACTCAGAATTGTTGTACCGCTGGCAAAGCTGCCAACAGTTCGTCTCTCAAAACAACGCAATGAAGCTATGATACTAATGATGTACATCGTAACAGAGGACTATGAATCGAGGGGCAAATTCAGCGTACTTGGGCCGCTCTCAGTCTACGAGACCGGCTCGCCAAACGAGAATGGCAACATCCTTTTATATTGCCCAGATGGGTTTGGACACGCCCTCCACAATCAGTACTTGGCCGACAGATTCGCCGAATGCGGTTGGCAAGTGATCTTACCCGATTACTATGAGGGTAAGCATTTAAAGATCGGTGGTAAACCATCAGAATCTCACAGGTCCAGGTGACCCGGTTCCTCTAGAGCATCTGGACTGGGATCAATCAAAGTCTCTCGAGGAGCAGGGGTGGAATGAAGAGCAGCTAGGCAGGATGCGTAGCTTTAGTCTTGACACTTGGCTGCGAGTTCATAATATGACGAGAATACAGATGCTCCTTAAAGACTGTGTACATGCAATACAACAGTCATATCCAGGCACGTCTATCTCGGCGATTGGATTTTGCACAGGAGGTAAACAGTCCCTGCTTTTAGCCTCTTGGGCCGTTAAAGCCGCAGCCATATTTCACCCGGTATGTCGTGCCACAATGAGAGCGGCTAGCTATCGGTCTGGCGCCCGGATCGGCTAACCAATGATGACAGAGCTTTGTGAAGGAAGAAGACATTCATGGTATCTCAGTGCCTCTGTACATCGGTTTAGGAGAGAAAGATCAAATGGTCCCCTCGACTTTAAAGGAAGATCTCGAGAGGTGGCTATCTGCTTCGAAGGTCCGCGGCTTCACAATCTCCGTGTACCCTGGCATGGATCACGGTTGGACAATTCGTCCCGATAATGATGACCCTGAAATACGGCATCAATGCAAGCAGGCTTTTGAGGATGCAGTGAAGTTTTTGAGCAGTTTTAAAGCATGAACTCGAATCTTACAGAGCTTGTGATGGATGCTCTCAAGACCATATTGCGAAAATATGACAAATTCACGTAAAAGTTCGATTCCAGTCGTCTCGTAGTGTGACGCTCAAAAAAAGCGAGATAGCTAACATGCCTAGGACAAGTCAAAGACACATAGGAGGAAATACTAGTCACAAGATATGCCTGAAATCCTGTTACTAAGGGACCTGATATGGGCGCCTTGGCCTACTGCAGGCGAGATGACACTCTGAAAAAGGTGCGAAGCGATGATTCGGTATCAATAGTAATGTGTCAATGATAGATGTCGACTAGAAACCTTGTTCGAAATATTCAGCGCCCCTGGCTATCCTCGAGTTGACTATGAGGCTACGAGCTTCTTCTTGAAAGCGATGCAGGTTTTAGATGTAGCGGTAACAGAAATACGAAATAAGTCTGGTTCCTTGACATACACTCGGGACAGAATCTGATCCAAGTGTTCGATTATCTCAAAGATGCACTTTCGATTCTCCAATTGTTGCTGCTGGGTGGCTGTCTACGTTCGTATGAAAGTCCCCATAATATTTGAGAATACCAGATGGATAGAGAAGACCTTTGCCGGGGACGATCAAAGGGCAGCTGCTCAAATTTCAGAAAGGTTGACTTTGACTTTGAGAGGACGCTTCCCTAAACGTTGCTACTGTGGTATACAACAGTAAAGTGGCGCTTCGCCTTACATCTTGAAAGCTGCCATATCAGTCTTCCAGTTTGCCATCCATTTGTAAGGCGAAAACTTCTCCTCCGGATCGTCGCTCATAATGCTAGCCAAAAACCAATCCTCATTGGCTACGATATCAGGACTTGAGACATGAAGTCGCTGCTTGTTGGATTTGGATATAGGGTCGACGTAGAGCTGGAAAACACGTCTTCGCTCGTACGAATACCTGTCGTACAAAGACTCCGGCCGTCCCTGCTTGAGCACTTGCACCAAGGTTTGAGCGAGCGCATCTGCATCCAAAATTCCTGTGTTTAGTCCAAGGCCACCGATTGGCTGTCAGTGGGAATTAGTACACAGCCAAAGAGCCACTAAAGGATGGATAACGTACATTGTTGACGTGGGCTGCGTCCCCAGCCAGGAACGTTCTTCCCTTTCTCATTGACGAGCATAGAAGCTGATGCATTTTGTACGGTTTGCTGCGAATGACCTTGAACTCTTGATTGTAGGGACCGTCAATGTGCTTTTTCAGCATTGAGATCACGAACTCAGCTTTTTCGAGCTCCTGATCGGGCACACTTTCGTCGGAAACGGCCATCGAATACCTCCAAAGACCGGGCTGACCGGGATAGATCCTTTCCAACGGAGTAATGGCTGCCCACAACTCGGGGTCAACAACCAAGCAGCTAGGAATTTCTGGAACATTGTTCGTAGTTCGTAAAACGTCCGCAGAAATCAGTCGTTCCGGCCAGCTAGTTCCATGAAGCTTGAGTCCAAGCTTCCTGCGCACGTCAGAACGGCTGCCATCGGCACCGACGAGGTAGCTGCCTTCGAAGACGTGCGTGTTCCCTTCCGTATCCTCAGCAATAACTTTGATCCCGTCTTCTGTCTCCTCGGAAGAAAGGTATTTCAGGCCCATTTGAACAGTTGCGAACTGCTGAAGGTCGGCATGCTTCATCTCCTCAGCTATGATCCTCACAAGCTTAGCCTGCGGAATGAGAATGAAATGCCCTCCAGGGGGGGTTTCTCCGTTCACCTCCGGGGCGAATTTGGCCGAGGCGATGCAATCACCCATCCTTTGGCCTCCATTGCCGTCATCGACGGCACGTTTCCTAAAACTCAACCCCGCTGAAGGCATGCCTTGCCTTTTTTCTTCCTCGTAAATACCAGCATCCTCGAGAACAGAATGCGAGGGGCCGAAAAGTCCTACTGCTCGTGGCTCCTCGGGATACTTTGTAGCGGCCTCAATGACAATGACTGGGATCTGATTTCGTGCTAACAAAAGCGATAGAATGGCGCCCACCGGGCCATACCCAACGATAATGATTGGTTTTAGCATTTAGAAGTATCTGGGTCTAAAAGCAAGACTTAGAAGACCATTTAGAGAACAAAGTCTGCAGAACGACTGACACGTCCGCGTTGAAATACTCGGGAGGCTCTCTCGGTGGGAACCCGCACAGAACAAACATTGCTAGGACTAGACGAGGCTCGAGTGGCATGGTCCCAACAACACCGAGTGGCATTCAGGTTCTAAAAGCCCCGTGCATCCGCATATTTTCCAGCTGGATGCTTACTGAAAACCTGGTGCCGGGCCACGCTGGGTGGAAGTATCATACGAGGAGTGGCATGCGAGACTATTGCGGAATCCCCTAGCATAATACCTAGAATTTCACACCTAAATCCGAAAGGAGGACCGGATCGGGAAACCTTTCAATGTCCGAGCGATGTGGTGGCTTATGCTCTCCGTCACTCCGATCCCCGATCAGTTCGTGGAGAACGGCAGAGACTTACCCGAAGGATTCAATTTAGCATTTGGTACGTCCGGCTTTATTTTTTTTCGTTTTTTTACTACGGGCCACTCTGAGGGAGATCTTTGTATCTGTCACCACTCAGGTTGGATTTCTCTCCACCCTGGCCCCCGGGATCTAGACTTCTCCGTCGGACGAACGACGTTAGCAAAAGCGGCAAGCCATCCTCTCTTTTCCCTCGTTGTGGTTCGATACGACGTCCTGCGCTTTGGTTGACAGCATTTTTGGATTATAGCGAAGGGGGTTATTGCAATTATGGAGGCTGTATTACTTCACTGCGAGTGCCCTGGCAGGAACCCCTTTAGCAATTTGTCGCAATCCTAAGTGCCTTATATAGATGTGAGCTTCTTGATTCCACCAAGAGCTCGAAAACGAGGTTCTATCTACCGTCTTCCACAAGAACAAGAGGAACCTTCAAGAGTATTCTCGTCGAGGTTGTTTTGTCAATCGATAGTCGCGTATTGGATACCCGTGCAAAAAGAGTCTTACGGAAGACCGTAAACAATCCTTTCTTAGGTGCATGTTTGTCGTGCGTGGGGCCCCTCGGCACCGACAACGTTTGGGGGCTCTGGAGACCCTAAGGGACAGGCACATCTGCGTACAGCAGAGGGAGTGGATGAATGCTTCAACCCCAGGACACCCAAGCTTGTCTTCTCTGCCTCTTCCCCTGCGTACTAAACCCTTGTGCCACGCGGATGCAATATGAGCAATGCTTTTTCCGACAACAGTACCGCCCACCTGCGAGTGCAGGAGGATGCATCATTCTTGAGGCGCGTGCGGCTACTTGGGCACCGAAGGCTCCACGAATGCGATTGATCAGAAAACTATAACGATTCATAAGTAATTTGAGATATCCGGTCAATTTCTGATGTTTCGCAGAAAGTGAGTCAAGCACCGAAGACGTTCAATCAAGTTACTCATGTTTCAGGGATTCACCGGCCACACATGCGCAAGTGCATGAGAAATGACAGCGAGCGACCACACGAAGAAAAAGGGAGTGCATACCATATTCACGCTAAGTTAGTATGAAGCTGATGGCGAAGCTTACCAGTCTCTTCCCATTTAAATCAGCAGCAGAACTGATCCCGTGTTCAGGTCGAAACTTAGGTGTGAAAGACAAGCTCCTTCTTGTTCGCGATGCATCCAGCGACGAGCCCCATGTATTTATTGGGATCCTGCGCAAAGTGGAACACTCGAATGACGAAATATCCATAAGGCGAACAATCCCCTAGAGCTAGACAATGCAGCAGATAATGCTGACCCAACCATACTAATGCCGGATGTATACACCGGTGGACAGTCGTAAAGACAATCCTCAATGATGGCAGGTTCAGTAGAGTGGAAGTAGATGCAAGCGAAGTTTTATCACATTCGCTCAGTCGACGCCTCTACAAGGGACCCCATAATCAGAACAATCAGCCTTGCGTCAGATCAAACCCCTCGGAAATCTTCCTCTTTCGCAAATTTTTTGCGAAACAAGCGGATCGACCAATGTATCGATTTGTGCTTTGCTCATTTCGATAGGGTCTGTGAAATGAAGCGTAAAAGTGTATTGAACTACTCTAAATCTATCTGGTCGGGGAGGCTGCTTTTATAGCCATAATTACTAGCGTCTTGGCGTATTTCACAGGTCAGTCGAGCGTCACGTGCCTCCCAAAGATTCAACATGCTAGTGAAAAAAGACAGTCTTCCATTCATTCACCGGCCAAATTTTGAACCTTCGAGGGAGCCTGTCGTAACCCTGGCCGTTGCATGCATTGAATTGGAATACGCGGGATTCAAGGGAGCCAGTGCCTATGCCGATGTTCTCTAGGAATATCTACGACGACTCCTCTTATTCCTGATCAGACTGCAACCAAACTCCGGATCCCCCGCTGATACTGATAGTGCGAATCTGATCCGAACTTCCACAAGATGGAAACATATGCAAAGGCTCAGCTGCTGCCGTGCATACATAGTGTGACAAGTGGTAACAAGCGACTCTTTGAATTTAGCAGGTCTCATTGCGGCGTCTAGTCAGCAATTGCGAATACATGGGCCATTGCTGGTGCCAAACACCCCTTGAAGACCAGCAGCAGAGCCCTGAGCATCGACGGCTGACCTGGATAAAGCAAGAGAGCCGAAACCGTCTCGCATGAGCTATCTATGTTCACCCCAACCTCCGCATTGCTTCCGTGCTCGTGCTGATGAAAGCTACTGGAGTTTGACACTCCTGGGGGGTTTCCGTGAGACTGAGACCTGTCGTGTTGATGACGTAAATGGACAGCACTGGTCTGTCCCCAGAGATGTCTGTCTATCTGTCCTTTCAGCGAATTCCTTCTTCCTTCCTGTTTATATAGACATTTAGCCTGTTTCAGGAAAGCCATTCCTGAGCGTTTGCTGGCTAGGTTGTCCATGCCGAGGTCTCCCTGCTGTAAATTGCGCTGTCGATCAAACTGCCTATCAAGCTAGCCTGATACTTGATCTGTCTCACATTTTCCCGCAACGTCATTCTCTGTATAAGTCTCCTGGATATCCAAATGGACCTCCCATGTTCCCCTAGCCATTGGGCAGCGGACTCGCCACAAGCCTGGACTGCCCTGACGCCGCGGAGCACTGCATACCCGCGGAGCCCGTCTTGACTGAGTACGTCCAGGCGTTGAGGAAAGGTTCCGGTGATACTTCTTCCGAACAGTATCCGGAGCAACATCACCACCTCCTAGTCATCTATTTCTTACTTCGGAGCCTGTATTGCCTCTCTCAGCTAAAAGTCAACATAGTCTCAAACCTCGTAGAAGGACCAAGCTAGCTTAAGCAGCGCTAACTTGACAATAATTCAACTTTACAATCAATGTTAGAACGACTTTAAGCCCCAGGAATCGTCCCAAACACTTACGGAATTTGCAGATCAGGTATACAAAAATGTCGTCATCCATATTACTATGGTCTATGAACTTGGTCTCATGACCACATGGTTATGCTACCTTCTATCGGCAGACACACGCGCCGTAGCCGGGGAACGAATCAGGCTGTGGTCAGCGGAAGACCCTAGGCATACACGGCAAGTCGTTTACCGCCTCGCACAGATGCTCGCCACGACACGAGTCCATCCGTACAACTGACAAATATGAAACTTAGAGTTTGTTCTACGCTGGCTTGACACGTTGGGCCTTGATCGCTCTCTTACCCGCAGATGGCCACGGTAGCTGTAGGTGTGTGCATGTCGATCATCTTGCCGGGGAGGATGCTGCCTCTGACGCGATGATCAATGAATGGATTCAGCAAGGGGGACCCTATATCATCATCCTGCATGAAATCCCAGACTTGCAGGGGCCTGGGAGCCTGAGGCAGGTCCTCGACCAAACAGCTCGTATCTTGAGGCGTATGCGTGTATTTGGGCTCGCCAAAAGCCTCCTTAACGTCATATTGGATGTTTTGAGGAATGAGGAGAACCGACAGAATGAAGGGCTGGGAATCAAAAGGCGCTCGACATTTGATGTCTGATCCGGCGGCGAAGGGACACCTCGTGATTTTGTCCCTGGGCAGAGTCGTTTGACTCTGTTCCAGCTATTTTTTTGCCACCACAATGGGCTCAAAATCAGGGTTTTGTTTGATATCCCACCGTGGGAGATGGTACCCCGGAGGCGCCACTACAGAGGGAAATTTAGTGTTAGTGTCGCTCAGTGATAGGCCAAGTCTGACAACGTCAATTGGACCCATGCCCCAGGGACTACCGTCGAGCCGCTGGAAATATTCCTTCTTATATGCCTTTTCAAACGGTCGATCTGCCGTGAAACCACGGATGATGTACTCATTGACGTTCAGCGAGACAACTTCGTCATAATGCCGCACCTTCCCAACCACCTCCTTGTTGCGTTTCTTTAGGGCCACGATCTGCTCTTCCGTGTACTTCCCGTAGCTTATCATGTGAAGGTCGGAGACGAGGAGAGAACACTGGACCAGGTACGATCCGCCAACCTTGGACCTTAGGTAGAGAGCGTGTAAAACACCCGCGGCCCCGGAATGGCCAGTTCTGAACGATTTGGTTAGCTAGTCGATCCAGTGTACAAGGGGGTGGACGACCACGAACAAGTAATCAGCATTAGGTCCTGGAAAACAGTGTGCTTCGTCGTAGCCGTGGAATCGTCCGCAGGCTAATCCGACGCCGGAGCCCTATTTCACGTCAGAGATACTGATTGACTCGTGGCATGGCACTTAACTCACAACGTCAGCGATTTGTGCCCATCCGGGGCGTGTGACCCAGGGGCCTTTCCAGCCGTAGCAATTTTCCTGACAATAAACAATACCTCGGTCACGCTCCGAGACCAGTCCAAATACGGCGTCCCTTCCAAATCCCAAGTGCTCGAGGACCGACGGCCGATATCCATCGATGAAGACGTCGGCCTCTTCGATTAGCTCAAGGAGCTTCTTCCTTCCTTCGAATGTTTTCAGATTGATGTCCACGCTAATTTTGCCGACACAGCCGTCGATTAACGTGATCGGCAACTCTTTATTGACCGAAGAACTGACACGGATGACCGTAGCACCGAGAGCAGCACAGACTCTTCCGATGGTGGGCGCAGCAATGGCTCGTGCTAGTTCTAGTACCTTTATACCGGAGAGGGGCTTTTTGTCGGAAGCATCGATGGGTGGACCCCAGGACACTGCTGGCTGTTCGTAGTAAGGTTGCTTAAGGCAGCTGTAATATGGCTCATCCTTGATAGCTTGGCCCTGTTAACCGAGTCAGTCTGCGTAAAGAAATCAGACGAGCCACGCCGGGACTCACGTGAGGCAAAGCTTTGAATTCGTCCTCCCCGTATGCTGTTATGCCTGGCACACGGTACACGTTATTACTCCAGTTATCGAGACTCTTTGAGTCGATTCTCTCGACAAGCTGCGAGTACATGTCCAGTATTTCGTTCCAGGAGAGATTCTTCTCGTTATGCTGCGGCTGGCCGAGCATGGTAAGCACTGGTGTCGCATCCATGCTCCCATGTAGCTGATACCATCGGCCGTCCTTTGTCTTGTAGATGTTGGTTGCAAGCTGGCGATAGAGTTCGCGCGTGTAGCCGTGATCCCACCGACGTGTGACTACGTCCATTTCCGGAGCCAGACTGTTCCATTTATCGTTGCACCGGATGAAGCATTGTGCCAACCCGGTCAAGAGGGCATGGGACCTGAGTATGATTAACGTTGGATCTTCCACAAGGAACGGCGGTTTTGTCTTGGTGGCACTCACACGTCAACCTCGATATACTGATCTAGCCCGTATCGTTCCTTGGATATAGCAGCGGCAAAGATTCCAACGTATGCGAGCAACGCTGCCTGCGACTCGGCACATTTCCACGGTGTAGGATAGAACGGTTGTGTCTCGTCCCCTATAAATTTTACCTTGCTTGCAAACTCCTTGACTCCATCTGGACTGTTCAGCCTGGGGTCCGAGACAATCTTGTCGAATATCTTCTGTGCCTCGCTTTGGAGTGTGTACGCCATGCCGCGCTGAGCTCTGGCGTTCTCCGAGTGGCCAACGGTTGAGTATTGATTCGATGATAAGCCTGCTGTGTATCCCTGGCAGTCAAGCCAGCTTTTAACATTCTAACAGGCAGACATTTGACATGGGGCAAACTTGACCTAAATGTTCACAGTATCGGCCGGCTCTCTATCAGTTTGGGTTAGGCCTGTGAGCGGGAACAAGGTGGTCAGTGACAAACCGTCACGTTCTCCCGACGTCCTCCTCACATATCAGTGGTTCCCGATCTCCGGCGTCAGATTCAGAGTAGCCGGACGTAGCATTCTGATAGAAAGCGATCTGTGGCGGGACCGAGTCTCTCCGGGGCCGTTTCTATGGAGACCCCCTTCCGAACTGCCGGCGATGCAAGACGCGATATACGAAAGATGTAGAATTGTGTGCGCCGGGCACCCAGCGTACATCTCTAGGGGGGAAGATGGGGGAGGGTGTGGCGAATGCTTGACTGGCAAATCAATTTTCGACACTAGAATAGGGCGTGCAGGAGGAGAGGTGGTTCCCGCGAACCGAATGTGACAAAGAATGATCCCATTTGGTATTGGAACCAAATATATGATTCTTGTATGAGTCTGTATGTAAGGTGGTGACTTCGTGCTTTCTTTGGGAAGTTTATCACCAAACGACCAAAGAACTCGAGCGGCCGGTACTCGAACACTTCCCTGTCAGATGAAGCGCGTATGAAGCCTCTCGCGCAGAAAGAGACTATCTTCAGCTCGGTCACTGCTTAGCATGAGAAGAATCTTTAAGATCCTCAAAGGTATTTCCACGGCGTATCTCTTCGCTGGGTGCCAGATTCGCTGCGTCGCTGTCACGCATCGAGCCATCCTTCACACTCCGTTCATACAAACTGATCACTAACGCTTGACTTCACATTATGAGGGGCCACAAAGGGCCAACCCTGCAGAGCATTCGAAGCGGTTTAAAGTCAATCAATTCAACCAATGAAATGATTGAACTGAGGAGTCAACCTTTTGCTTCCTTCGCGACGACCGCTTCTAGCTACCATTCGACGGATCGGGAGTTGCCACGGTGATTTTGGACCTCGTCAGGGTGTTAAAGATCCTACTGGGGCCTAACTGGGTTAGGGTTCCTAGTAACAATCTGAATAGTATGAACTGGTTGGGGAGAACACAAGGTATGAGAAG